TATTTGCATTGATGCTTACTGTCACTTGCGGTATTGCATCTTTTGATGGATGTGCGCGTATGCTGCGCCTGATTAGACGCATGTTGTGTTTTGGTTGATGGAGGTATGCGGGTGGTGATATCTACTGGGTTGTACTCTGATATAGACTCTGGTATGGTGTAAGCTCGAAGATAGTCGTATTGATGATTGTTGCATTCTGTAGCAAAGCATCTCTACGATGGTTGTTTGGCCGGTCGCTACTCTCAATAGCGCTCTCTGCGTCTTCATTTGACTCACACCTAGTAGCTTTACCCAAGTCAGATACCTTGACGACGAGGCTGCGGATTATCTGACCTCCTTGATGTTTCATATAAAAACATAATAAAGTATCTTCTGATTTCATATCTTTGAATGTTTGATTGCAACTTGTTGGTGGGTGAGACAAACATGCAACCAAAATGCATATACTCAACGTCAGTGACACAAACACTTTCTTATGGCGAGTTATTGTTATCTTAAAACTGCATTTTGGTTATATCTGCCATTATATTGGTCGCTGGAGCATATAGTATCGACCTCATGTGGGTGGTTGTTGAAGGAGGAGACTCTCAAGACTGCGGCATCACTGGTTTCTTTAGCTTGTGGTGAGGGCTGAAGATCTTATCATGTGGTAGTAGGTCTCGCAAGGGGTCGCCTGACTTGCACTACCCTCCCGTGGGAGACAAGCAGCTCACTGTGTTCCATCTGTGAGCGGGAGAACCAGTACCTTTAGGGGACTTAAACGCCATTAGTTGCGCCGCTCAAGACTAGTCTGGACTTCTGAGCAAAGCTATACAACGTGACTCATTCAAGGTAGCGGGATCCGAGGCACGGTCTTGCTGTTGGCCAACCACAGATAGTTGGAGGCCCAAGTTGCATGCCAGCCACGTGCCAAATGCTTCCCCATTAATTTAAGAAAAATCCCAAAATGCTCCACCGTGCCAGTTATCGATTGAATGGGAGGACCCGGTGGCCATTTCGGCGGATCGGGCGTTCCCGCAGTCTCCACATGAGTTCCCCATCGGTTAGCTAAGTTCTTGAGTCTTCAGTTGATTTCTCAACTGTTTCCCCACCAAAAATCACTGAATTAAATTGAAAAAGTTAAAAAAATATGGTAAATCAACGGCGGTCTTTCCTCCCGTTTGAAGTGCACCTTACGAACATCAGAGGCTTGCACACTAACCTTGAGCCGGTTCATCGCCACCTCGAGACCAAAGAACCACACCTATTCTTCATAACGGAGACGCAGATAGCAACTCCATTTGAAGTGACTACCCGAAATACACGCTTGAACATAAGTTCAAACAGCGCGATGGGTTCTGTGCGTACGTCCGCGTTGACATTTGATGTCGGCATATCCGTTGCTTTGAGGTTTCAACGTTTTTTGCAATATGGCTAATTTTCCTCAGGGATTTTAAGGTCGGTTAAGAGCGGTTGTTTTCATTTGGGAAAAACGACCATGCTAGGAGAGAGGCGCGCAAACTAGCGTTATCCATGGATCTTACTCAGCTGATTCTAGTAGTTATACGGGTACCGGATATAGCGGGGCATACACTCGATTGTTTTCACCTTCTGTTGACAAGAGACCCAGACAGGCATTCGATACCTGTCTCAGCACCGCTGCGATCATCAGATCACTGTCTGGTGAAATCCGTATCGATCAACATTCCTCCAGATAATGGGCGGGCATTAAGAGAGTATGACGATATGACTCAGCAGACTGAGATGAGGTGCGGCACTTTTTTGCATCATATCCGTGGCGACAAGTGTGCTTCTCTTTGGATGAATCCTCCTACTCTGCCAACGTGGTTGGTTAATACGGCAGGAAATAGAATATTTTATTTCATTCTTCGACATCCCGCTCGTTCACAAGGCTCGGCCCTGGTATAATGCGAACTGTGCACGTCCTTCGGCCTGCAAAGAATCCGACTACCTTGGTTTTAGCTCACGATCGCAAAGTTAAGGCTCGGAGGATTCGTACTGTTAGGAGGCCAATCCGGTTTGACTTTAAAAAAACACTAAGTAACCCTAAAGGTTACTATTATATATTACAAAAATTCACACACCAAATTAATATAGTCCCTGTCTTCCGAACTTAAATACGTGTCGGAATCTATGTCCGATCTACCCGGGGCTCTGAGTCTAACTGATCATTAAAAATGGAATTAAAATGAACATGGAAAAGTAATAATACAATTGCTGACTAAGATCATATGCAGGAAAAGTACCGTGTGATTAAATATATGCTTACTAAGGTACTACTCCCTTGTAAAAGAGGATATAACAGTACGAAGAAGAGAGTTTTTAATTCTGCTACCCAGTTCTGTAAGCGGGTTCTCCGCAGGGCACGATTTTACCATGTCAGTCATATAGGGGCCAGAATTGCTCTTAACACCCTGTTTGTAAGAAATTTTGGTCCCTGTGGAAGGTTTTCTAATCCAACTTTTGCCATCCTACTTGCCACCCATGAAGAAACGTGATGGATCACTGACTTACTCCTTGACTGAGAAAGCTAATTTATTTGTATTCCTGTTTACGAGCAATTCTCCACTAGATGCTGGCTCTAAGCAACCGCCAACCCTACCTCGCTGTGATTCTACGATGCAGAAGGGACTCTCCACACGAAAGTACCTGTAGTTATAGACCAATCACCATCACCTCTATACTCTGTAAGGTTATGGAAAGGGTATTGAACAGTAAACTGCTAACACTAAACGAACCTTGAAGTAAATAATCTCAGTTACCATCAATATGGTTTCGTCGGGGAGGGTCCACTGGGGATTATTTTGTGTATTGCACGCACTTCTGGGGCGAAGCCATCCAGAAGAAGGGTAAAGCTCTAGCAGTTACGCACGATATTCCGAAGGCCTTTGATAGGGTTTGGCACGCAAGTCCACTGAGCAAGCTTCCTGCTTGCGGCATCTCTGCCAAATTATGCAACTGGATATCTGACTTTCTTAGTGACAGTTGATCAGGGTAGTCATTGATGGCTGTTTTTCTTGTCTAATGCATATTTACGCCGGAGTTACTCAGGGGTCAATTACACAATTTTTGTTATTAAAAATATTTGTATTTCAATTTAAAAAAAGATATAAAGTTTAACAATTTTTCTTGGTAAAGTTAAATATAAAAAATATATAGCTTTTTCTAGTGATCACAAACTTGTTTGATGTGTGTACATTCAGTAAGATACCCGAATACACTGTCTACAAAAACCAGACTATTCTTCTGCGACTTTGAGTATTAAACCAAAGGAGACGACATCGCAAGGCATACCCCTCTGTAAAAGGTACGAGAGTCCGACTCATACCCGTTATATAAAACTAGTTGCTTCGCGTCGTGCGCCATTCCGAAGTGATCGTACCAGTAAATCGAGCTCCGACAAAATGCCGAATTGCTATGTATTTACGTGCAAAAACAATCAAAAACGTTAAATCTACAAAAGGACAACGTGACTTTTCATCTGTGAGTATTTTTAACATAATATTCAAGTAATATTATCATTAAAACTCGTACGTACAGTTGTATGTTTCTCTTGCGCCCCCCTTGATGTTGACAGAATTTTTGTTAAGAAATTAACGCGCATGGCAGTATTAAACCAACTGGAGAGGTTTAATACTCAAAGTTCTGTGAATATCATTTTGATGTAAGTATGACTTATATTTAACTACTGTTTAATACAGAACAAAACATCATGAGGTGAAGGGTATAAGTCAAATTTTGTAATAAATTACGCTTTCATTGAGAATAACACAAGGAAATACTTTTTTCTCACAAAAATAGTTAAGCATATAAGCATGTACTGGTAATTTGCTCAGTACTAAATAATGCAATAACATGTCAGGTGTGGCGGGGGGAGCGAGAGCCATTATAATAATAATGACAATAAAATCGAGATAACTGGATTTGATCGTATTCTGTATAACGTTTAAAAGCATTGATATGCTCGACTTCGGCTAATGTTTGTGGTTACGCACTACCATAACCTAAGCCCTCTTTTACTGGTTTACCGGTTAACTTATTGTGGACAACAGTCCTGTTCCCATCCTAACGTTCCTCTTTGGTGGGAGCGCGTTGGTAGATTGGCGCTCACCGCACACGATGTGTGTGAAGCCGTGTACCTCCCCTACGTTTTTTTTAAATATAAGTGAGTGAAACCCATGTATCGTGTAAAATAATATTTATATCAATATTTTGAGCCTTTCCAAGTGAGAAGGGAATAAATATAATGACTTGATTAATGTGAACCTGATACAAGTAGAACAGGGATAATTTATCGTTCTTAACCTTTTTGAGCCTCTTCTTAGTAAACGGAGTTTTATAACTTAAAACAAATTAAAGGCACTTAAAACAGCTTTCAATTACACTGGTGAATACTCATTTTTTTCATAGATACCTACCTAAAAGACGTAAGTTACTAATCAAACACAACGTAAATAAGGGTCCTAACTAAGAATAACAAACGGTCTATAACTAAATCTTAAGAAAGATGAATATTTTGTTCACATATTTTAATATTATTATTTGCGTGATTATTTATTAACGACAAAATTCTTTAATATATTTTATGATTAATATGAGTGTTGCTTATCATAGTGTTTAATATCTTTAGTTATTATTTATTTATTATATATTTGCGGAATAAGGTACACTGAATTATTACTGCAATAATGCAGAAATAGAATACATACGTCGTCAACTTAAACACCGAATGCAATTAAATAATAAAAAGAGCTTTTAATTTAAATTATATTATATATTTTAATACATAGACAATTATTGTTTCTTAAATTGCTATCTATTCTTCATTTAATTATAATCATCATTAGATGTCACTAACCGACGTTGTCTAGCTCTTATTTTATGGATAATTGTGGGCTAAGATAGAATCCACCAAGCACACCAACAATAAATTATAATAATGGCAATAAATAAAACATTTTAGAAAGATAAATGTAACAATATATTTCTGTATGTACAAATTACATGTAAATTTCGGCTAGTATCACAAGTGCCGTTAATAATAAGACAAGATTCATTTGCGTAGATTTAGGCGCAAGGCTTCGTTTGAGGGCTTCAAGTTCACTGACGTCTGGGTTCTCCTCGAAATCATTTATTTCACTGTACTGCTTATCTTCATACTGACCGGAAATAGCTGTAAAAATATTTTATTATAAAGAAGATGTATTTAATAAAGGTACACCAACAGTAAAACATTTATGTTAATATAGAAATTTCTGAAATATAGTGACACAGTGTTACTTCAACGAAGAAATGTTTAACTAAGTCTAAAATTAAAAAAAATACTACCTTAATTAAAACTGATGAATTTTTGAATTACATTATAACATAATTAGATAAAATTATAACTGATAGTTTAATTTAAAGTTAAATATGTGTAATGTTAAACTTAACACTAAATCATTTGTTTGGTAAAAATTATGTAAAAATTAGTCTCAGGTATGACTTTAATTGGGCAAATACAGCCTGTGCAAACGAGTAAATAAATCCCTTAAAATATTAATTTGGGATACTTGTTATATCTTTAATATATACTTTTATATTATTAATAAATAGATACTGCCTATTGCCATTATAGTTTATGGTTTGCGAATCATGGTTTTGATGCTAAATACTTACGATATAACTTTATTGTACCATCGGTGTCCCCAAGAGAATTTTTTGAAATACAAGTATATGTACCAAAGTTTCCTCTACTTACTCTCTTGATTTTCAATTTCATAACTACTTCATAACCTTTTTCGATAGCCGTGATCTCGAATCTAGTATCCGCTGTATAATAAATTGAATAGATTTATATTTATCTAGGTATAGTTCGGCGCTTAATTCAACTTTAAAGTGTTTGTAATACTAACATTGGGATATGATGTGGCCATTAATGGTCCAATAATTGATAGATTTGGGAAATGCTTCTGAATGACATTCTAATGTTACCGAATCACCTTGCAGTGCTCCTATCAGCTGATTTTGTATCGTCATTATTGGCGGAACTGAAAATAATAACAGCATTAAAGATTTACATTATTTAAAACACACTCATCACGCTTTGTTAGCTTAATTATGCGTCTACATATGTATGTAAGAATGTAATTGAGTTTTATAATTCGGTTTTCATTCATTTCCAGAAGTATGAATCTTCTGAAACTTTGCAAACAAATTAATAACCGATGAAATATACATAATTTAACTACTATACTGAATAAAACTGCTTTAATTGAGTTTAAAAGCTTTTTTTGTGTGTTTTTTTAAAACCTGAAAAAAATGATATATTTTTAAAATTAAACTTTACCTAGAAAAAGTGTATACGTTATATCTTTTTTATATAGAAAGTATCTGGACGCTCTTTTTTTTTTGAAATTACATTTGGATACAAATTACATACTGATGAAATGTAAATAATATTTTTTGATATTATTGATCTTATTAAAAATCATGAGTGCAATTAGTTTAATTAAAATAAGGCTCGAAATAATAGAATTTCTCACAAAAAAAGGAAACTTGAAAAAAAAAAAGAAAAAAATCGGACCGAAGACGGGACGCGAACCAAGACATTACGATTTCGCGACCGCTCGATATCCACTTGAGCTATTACGATCATTAAGACAGTGTCAAAATTGACCTTATTATATTGTAGCAGTTTTTCATTGCCTAAAAACACGGACAAAAAGACATTTTCTAAAAATAAATCCTAGCTAGATCGATTTATTGCCCCCGAAACTCCCTGGACACAAAATTTTATGAAAATCGTTTGAGCCGTTTCCGAGATTCCGATTATATACTATGTATATATACAAGAATTGCTCATTTAAAGGTGTAGGACACACTATTTCAAATAAAAAAATTAAACTTTTTTTAATAACAATAATTTAGTAATTCAATCCTAATGTAATTTTAACAGAATAGAGATAATAGTTTTGAGGCCACTATAAATTTTAACGTATCTCAATGGTATTACACGTAAAAAAAATACCACATAACAGCTAAATAGGGTTTTTTTATACAATAACAGTGATAAGATCACGAACAAAATATTTCGTACCTGTTTAGTTACAAATAAATAATTTGAATTTGAACTTGAATTTAAAGAAATTCTAACCGGAATCATAAAATCTGAAAAAAAAATTGTCGAATCTGCAGGCCATCCCTGGAACTTGCCACTAATTTCAAATGCAAAGCGCTCCAAATTTCACCAAATTATGACGTTGAATATGAAATATCGGAGTAATTTATTTTGACCGGACCGGCGGCGATCGACGTTCGTTTTTCAAGGTTAAAAGCTTATTAGTTTTTGTAATCGATCGGTAACGCCGTTTAAAAGTTATTCCAAAAAAAAACAGCTATTCAACATTTTTAATTTTGAGATTTCTTAAAATACGGTATTATTACTAAAATATGATATAAGATCCGAAATTATTATTTCAATGATGTGTATTATAGTTTAAATATTCAACACACACACAAACACACACACGCACACACATACACACACACACACACACACACATCACACACACGCGCGCGCAGTGCGCACGCACGCACGCACGCACACACGTACGCACGCACGCACGCACTTACACAAACTAAACGCACGCAGCGCACGTTATATAAAACACGTAAAAACAATTATAATAATATTCCCGATTTTTGAATATTTTCAATTTTCTTAGAGGGAAGTTAAAAAGAATTGTTTCGATATTCGTGGTATGGCTAATGTAATATGAAAAAACATAAGTGCAACGAAGCATATTGCAGTTTGTATAATAAAAAGTTAAATATTTTTGAAAACGATAACTTATTATATACGTATATTATGTATTTGTATATTATATAGTAATTACTAAAGAGAGATAACACCAAAACCTTGTTTTTAATCCGATTTCTAAACGTATTAATACCCCTATTCGGTCATTGATATCTGTATTATTACTATACAGCATTGACGTTCTGCTTTTTTGTATTTATTTACTCATCATCTTCGTCATATAGCATGTATAGGTAATATTTTAAATGGACATATTATTCATTTATCATCTTGGCTTTAACCATATTACTTTAATTGCTGTAATGGTGTTTGGGATTAATACTCACTAATAAATAAATACATATAAAAAATAGTTTCCACATCACGTTTGTTTATCTGTGCACTGTGTTTTTACGGAACTACTAAAAGAATTTTCCATCAATCTTAAAGTACCTATAAATGCTGAATTACCTAAAACTTTTTTAATACTATTAATTATTGAATACCGCACTATTTTAACTTATCGGTTAAAACTATTATACAATCGATTTTAATTTGTTTTTAGGTTATTGTGATATCCATATTTTAATTGTGAATTTCTCAGCATTCCCGTTCGATGCGATAAAACTAAAATCACTGTTGTAACTATAAGGAATAAATTGACATGCATTTCATTAAGTTACGATTCAACTCTTGGTGGGAACATTCTCCACACAAAAAGAAATTGTCCCCTTTGATGGTAAGAAAACGATTGTTTAACCAAACTTATACAAAAATGTATTAATAGAAGGTTTTTATTTGATATAGTATAACTCTTCCCTTGGCTCGAACACATGCGGAGGTCCTCATGGGCATGCTGAGGATCAATCCAGTATTTCCTGCAGTAACCTGTCCCAGTCTTGAACAGTGGCTTCCCTGATCTCTGGCACTGTCTGGGGAGGTGGTTGGAGGTTGCAAACAGCTCGCAAAAAAGTAGAACCGTCAACCATCAGCAGGCAGGTTTTAAGTCAGGTGAACCGGCAGGCCAGTCTAATTTTGTTATGTCGTATTCTCGAATAGCAGCATTGACTCGTTGAACTCGATGTGCGGACGCATTATCATCGACCAGTACGGTTTGCCCATGCCTTACTCGAAGTGGTCTAACAATACCATCAATAGGGACTTGTACCTATACACTCCCCGATGCATTCTCAGGTGACTGGTAGTGGTGACAGGTCGCTGATCGCTATATCAATAAGAGTCAAATTAATTTTGACCAACTTTAACATTGACATTTTATTATTATAACGGAGCTGAAAATACTTATGAGTATAATAATAAAGTTAATATTAATATTATAAGAAAGGAGAATTAGGAATCTATCATCAAAACCAAAACCAAACTAATACGCCTGCAATTTTAATAGTATTTTAAGTGTTTATTTAAAAGGTTTTTAGTAGTTATTAAATTAATAAATATATAATAATAAATAATAAACATATTTTGAGATCACCTGAATTCCGTCAGCACACTACACGCTTAGCGTAGCGTGGTGAAACCATCACGCTCCATTACCTTCTCGGTAATATGTGTAGACCTGAGTTTCCCAGAGGGCGTTTATAGTCTGTGATTTTTCCCTTTATCGTTAAGTTTAAAAAAATATACTTACAATGTACGACTAGCGTAACTCGTTTGCTTACAGATGGAGGGACTCCATTACTGGCTATACACAAGTATGCACCCATATGTAAACGTGATATTTTAATCATTTGTAGTTCACAACCGCTTATTGAATGATCTACGGCAAAAAGACAAATAAGAAAATTAAATATTTTTATAATAATGTAGTCTTCTTATCAGTTTCGTTGTCACAAAAATCAACTGAAAGAAATATTAAAATCTTTTATGACTTTTGTTAGACACATGATTAGAAACACAGCGTACGTATGAATATATACTATGAGAAGCATGTTGTGATAGTCAAACTGTACATTACTTATTGTCTTTGTATCGTCACATTAGTGCATTAAAATGTACACTTTCCATTCATAAAAATCACGTAGTAAAGTAAAGTTACAGCCTATATATTTCCCACTGCTGGGCACAGGCCTCCCCCTCATTTCTGAGAGGGTTTTAGGGCAAGGAAGTGTCCGCCGCGCTGCCCCAATGCGTGTTGGCGAACTTGCACATGTCTTCGAAATATTTTTTTCATAATCCTCAGACATGCAGGCTTCCTCACGATGTTTTCAAACTTCACCGCCGAGCACGTGGTAAATCAGCACTTAAAATTGCAATTAACAATTTCATTGGTGCCGGCAGGGATCGAACCCGGAGGTTACTCGCGTTCTGTTATATTTACAGCGAGCGTTAACCATCTGAGCTACCACGGCTCTTAAATAAAAATTACGTAACTATGCTGAAATTAAAATACAATCTTACTGAAACTAAAACTTTTGCTAAACTCACGATCTCTCGTTAATTGCGCTTTTGTAAGAGCGTTATGTAAAGTGATTTTATTTATCCATTACATCCTATGAAAAACCAATGCTGTACACAGGCCTTCCCCAACGATTGCCGGTTTGCTTTAATTGCCAGTCTTGGTTAATTTATGTCCTTATCAGGAAGAAGGCGTACCCGTTTGATGTTTCATTTTCCTCTATCGTCTGTTCGGACACGATGTCTATGTAAAATTTTTCAAATTCAAATTGATTTATTTGTGAATTTAGGTACAAGAGACATAATAGATCTTTAAAAAAATGATGTTCACTGCATTCAACCCTTAGGTCAACAAATAAAAATCACAATTAAATCTACTATATTTCTACAATGAAATTATTTCATTGTATTATTTATGTTATAATGGAATAAGTCCTACTAGATTATTAATTTTAAAGATTAACACATAATATTAGAATGCTGAACAATGATTTAATTAAATTATGTAAGGATATTTACAATACATAAATAGTCTAATCGAATGTCAAAAATGATATAGGCAATATCATTACAATATGATTAAATATTTATTAATAGAGTAGTATCGTTTCTCAATTAGATTTTTTCAAATGTAAATTTATGAATATTTTCAATTTTATGAAACAAAGATGGAAGTTTATTTTAGATCTTAGATAATATACCGAAAATTATTTTTCTAATTAAAGCCGTATTTGATAATATTGAATGAATTTTATTTTTTCGTTGATTGTTTATTATTAAATAATCATTAAATATTTCTGAATTAGTTTTTACAAATGTCTTCATTAATATACAGCGCGGGAAATATCAATAATTTTATTTTTTCAATTTGTGGTTTACAGCTTTCTGTACTTGATATATTTGGAATACCACGCACACACTTTTTTATGCTTTAAATATATATTTGCGCCTTGTGGTTTTGCTCCAAAAATTTACACCGTAGCGCACAGTAGAAAATACAAAACCGTGGTAAACCGTCCGTAATGCATCTTTATTTTTATATATGCTATTTTCGATAATAATGTTACGCGCTCCAGTCAACGATACACTAGCGCCATCTAGTGTCAGGAACGAGAGCGAGGGGAGCATTGAGAAAATGACATCACAAATTACTCAACCGACAGCGCCTAGTCGAAACTCGAACGCTCGGTACCTTGCCCGTGTTTACTTGAACATTCTGGATATTTCCTTGCTAATTTAAATATATAGGCGCTGCAAGATGCGATCGGGACAGTGTTGATTTGGGCGAAACAAGCGAAGCTTCGGAGTGGAATTAAGTGAATTAGTGTGTTTAAATTATTAGTGTTTTAACTTTAATTGTGTAAGTAAATTAAAGTGTTAATTTAGGTAATTTTATCGGCAATTTTTATTGTCACGAACCTCAAGCTCGTAACAATTGGTGTCAGAAGTGGGATAAAATCATGCCGATTTTACCTAAGGAGGAAACGGAGGGTGTCCGTACCCGAAGTCAACGCCAGCAGGAGACGGACCAACGAAGATTTGGTGGTGCAACGCCGCAGACGACGGAGGGCCAGCCACCGGCTGCAGGCCCGTCGGTAGCTCCTACATCTGCAGCACCTGACTTAGGTGCTCTGATGGTGATGCTGCAGGAGCAGGCTCGCCGACAGGAGGAGCAGGCTCGCCGACAGGAGGAGCAGGCTCGCCGACAGGAGGAGCAGGCCCGTCAGTTGAAAGAGCAGCTGCAAAGCGGACAAGAGGAACAGGCCCGCCGGCAGGAGGAACAGGCCCGCTGGCAGGAGGAACAGGCCCGTCGTTTAGAAGAGCAACTCCAACGCGATAAGGAAGAGCAGATGCTCCTCATGAAGGACCTTCACGCTATCTTCGGAAAAGAGATACGGGAGGTGAAGGATAAGGTTGCTCAACATGACAACCGCCTGTCGGAGGCCGAAACCCGAATCGACCAAGTAAACAATCGGGTTGACAACGTAATGGCTGACGTGAAGAAAACGCTGGACGACCTCAAACTTGGGGATGGAACAACAGCTCCCGTAGTAGCTACAACACCTTCGCTACGTGGATTCAAAGTGCCGCCGTTCGACGGTACCTCTTCCTGGTCAGCCTACAAGATCCAGTTCGAGGCTGTTATGAAGGCGAATGGCTGGAATGAAAGTCAGGCCATGACTGCTCTCACACTAGGCCTGCGCGACCAGGCCTTAACAGTTCTGGAAGCTCTCGGTGAGGAAGTGACTTATGAGCAACTCATTGAGGCATTGGAGGCGAGGTATGGCGACGCTCACCTGGAACACGTCTTTCGTGCGCAGCTTAAAGATCGCGTGCAGCGCATCAACGAAAACCTGCAGCAGTGGGCTCTAGAGGTGGAGAAGCTGGTGCGAAAGGCATACCGGTCTGTACCTGCGCTCATTGGAGGGAACCTGGTGCAGACATTCATCGACGGCATCCGTGACCTGAAAGTCAGAGCTGCTGTGAGGCTCGGGCACCATGAGACGCTTAAGGACGCCCTGGCCCATGCACTGGAGGTAGAAGCCGTGCGGCAGGATCATCGTTCCCATCGCGTCAGGGAGGTTGCAGCAGCTACAGTCCGTGACCGCAGCAAACGATACAGCCCTAGGTGCTATGGCTGTGGGGAAAGGGGCCATCTTCGATCCAGCTGCCCTAAACGAACCGTTAAAAAGAGAGTTGATCGATCTAGAGAGGGTAGTGCAGCTAACGGCACTGCCTGGCGGCGACAGGATCATCGTTCACCTCACGCTAGGGGAGGTTACAGCAGTTACGGTTCGCGACCACAATAAAAGATACAGCCCTAGGTGCTATGGCTGTGGGGAAAGGGGCCATCTTCGGTCCAGCTGCCCTAAGCACACCCTAGGAAGGGAAGGTGAACGGTCTCAGAAAGGAAGTGCGGCTAACAGCACCGCCCAGCAGCAGCAGGAATACGACTTTACTATCAGACACTGCAGCGGGAAATCTCACGGCAACGCAGATGCATTGTCAAGAAGACCTTGTCCTGAAGATTGCAACCATTGTAGTAGGCAAGAGAGTAAGGAGGTGGTATCCGTGAGGATGCTCAGGACGGACCACCTCAGCAACGAATGGAAGGACAACCTACGACATGCACAGCAGGAAGATCCGGACATCAAGCCGATTCTGGGATGGATGAAGGCCCGTGCTACCAAGCCTAAGTGGAGGGACGTCTCAGCGATGAGTTCAACCACGAAAAGCTATTGGGCCCAATGGGACAGCTTGCTGATTCAGGATGGAGTCCTGTGCCGTAAATGGGACAATGGTCGAAGAGACAGCTGTCGTTTGCAAATGGTTGTCCCTAAAGCTAAAGTGCCGAATGTTCTACAGTTGTGCCATAATGGTCGTTCAATAGTCCATCTGGGAGTTAAACGAACTCTACTGAAGGTCCGAGAACAGTTTTACTGGGTCCATTATCGTGACGATGTCGAGGATTGGTGTCGTAAATGTACAAGTTGTGCGGCCGAGCGGGGACCTCGGACACGTAGTAGAGGAGCACCGAAATTGTACAATGTTGGGGCACCACGCGATAGGACAGCCCTTGACATTGCGGAGCCGTTACAGAAAAGCGCAAGAGGGACTCCTAAGATCGTCCATGTGAATCGCTTGGCGCGTTATTATGGGGCCGATAATGCTCGGGACGAGCATGTCTTAGGAGGGGGCAGTGTTACGCGCTCCAGTCAACGATACACTAGCGCCATCTAGTGTCAGGAACGAGAGCGAGGGGAGCATTGAGAAAATGACATCACAAATTACTCAACCGACAGCGCCTAGTCGAAACTCGAACGCTCGGTACCTTGCCCGTGTTTACTTGAACATTCTGGATATTTCCTTGCTAATTTAAATATATAGGCGCTGCAAGATGCGATCGGGGCAGTGTTGATTTGGGCGAAACAAGCGAAGCTTCGGAGTGGAATTAAGTGAATTAGTGTGTTTAAATTATTAGTGTTTTAACTTTAATTGTGTAAAGTAAATTAAAGTGTTAATTTAGGTAATTTTATCGGCAATTTTTATTGTCACGAACCTCAAGCTCGTAACAATAATATAGAGAGTAAGAAAATTGATTTAACTTTTTGCAAATATATTCTGTATGAGTCTCCCATTTTAAGTTATTATCAATATAATAACTTAAGAATTTTGTTACTTTGGTTTCACTGACAGTTTCACCATCGTAAGTAATGAAGTAAATCAAGGGGCCATTTTTGTTGATAAAAATCATTGGGTCTTTTTAAGTTTATTATTAAATAATTCGACTCAAGCTAGCTAATTATATTCTTAAGGTTGTTATTGAATTTATTTTCGTATTTATTTATGTCTGTAAAAGTA